TCCGGGGGAAGAGGAACGCGGACATCGGGCTGCAGGGGAGGAAGGCCGTATGCCGCCGGGTCGAAGTCTTTTGGATCGATCTTCAAGTGGCGGGCCATCCTCCGGTAGATGAGGGCTTGAGTAAAAAACTCACCCCCATCGTAGTACTGTTTACCCTTTCGGGAAACCCACTCCACACCAGGCCCGTCGCACCATTCATCGACGGAGGACTCCACGACCGAGGACAGCCACTGTTTGTGCTCCCCGGCTTTCCACCCCCCCCCCCCCCGCTAAAAATCCGGAGACGGCGTCCTTTCGGGCCTTCGCGACGGCATCCGCCTTGGCGGCCTCGGCCTCCTTGGCGGCTCTCTCGAGGGCTTTGGCTGCGGACCTCTCAGCATCGGCCTTGCCCCGGTCTGCGGCCTCCGCCCACAGCGTCATCTGCCGAAGGCTCTCCTCCAGCATAGCCATCTGCCGGATGGCGTCAAGAGTTCTGGCAGATGAGCTCCCGCATCTTCGCGTCCTGCTCAGCCTTGTGCAGGCGCCACTCCTCCAGCCTCCGGGCCTGTTCACCGAGGGCAATGCAAGCCTGCAAGTTATAAAGAAGTTAGGAAAGCCGTACAAATCCTAGCGCAAAGTACAACGGAAATCAGGGAAAAACTTACAGTGAGGGAAGACCGGAGGATCTTGTCCTCGAGGGCCAGGTCATCATCAGCCCCGAGGGCAGCTCTGTCAATCTCGGGGGTCATGCCCCTCAGAAGTACCCTCGGGTCCACCGTGCAGTTCATGACGGTTGTTCCCATCGGGAGGGAAACCATCAGAACCTCGGAGGGTGGCTCCCGAACACCCCTCGGCACTTCCGCCACTGGCATCTCCACATGCGTCCCGGAGGCGGGGCACTCCTCTACGATGACCACGGGAGGATCCTTCTCCCCGACATCTCCGTTTTTTGGCCTTTTGCCCTCGGGAGCCTTGCCCGCGGCCTTTCTCTTCGCAGCGTCGGCGGCGTCGGCACTTGGGACCGTCGACGACCCCTCGGGCTTCTTAAAGAAGTCACCGGCGGGTTTAGGGATGCCAGCATCCGTCCCCTTCGGGACCTTGGAGTACTTCTTCTTCTTCAGGTTAGCGAGCCCTCTGACGTTCATCTTGGAGACCGGGATACCTGTAACACAATATGGGGTTAGGCCGACGGGTCAGTAACAGATGGCATGAAAGTACAAAAAAAAATACAAACTATGTGCTAAGTACGAAAATTTAGGTGCTCTCAGCTGCTACCTCCTAAACCCCCCGGAGGCTCCATCAAATGCCGGGTACTTTTCATCCCTTTCCCCCAGGAAGCGATACCACCGGAACCCGATGGTATAGAGGTCCTCCTCTTGAGTGCACTCCTTTGATGGCTATGTTTTTATCTTGGCCCTCCGGGATCTTGGCCAGGATCCTTCCATCCTTCTCGAGGGCGGCGCTCCTCACTTTCTCGTGCCTCCTGAACCGGTCACGCAGTTCCCTCGGGAAGGGGCTCTCGGCTAACTTTATGAAGCACCACCGGTCTTTCCACCCTTTGTTTGAGGAGGGCGCCTCGGTAAACAGCTTGAACAAGGCCACCTGCTGCAAGTTCGCGAAGCCCTCGACATTCGTATGCCCCCCCCCCCCCCCCGGCACAAATTGAAACTTTGAAAGGACAGGTCCAGGCTAGGCGTTACCCCCCGGGATTTGCAGAGATGGAGGAAGCCCGTGATGTATGAGTGGCTGTTCGGCGTCAATTGGCAAGGGACCAAACCCACGAACCGAAGGTATTCCCGAAGGAAGGGGTGTAGGGGGAACCGGAGCCCCATCGATACGGACAGGATGTGCACAGCGTTGCAGCCCTCGGGAGCCCGGGAGAGGACATCATCAGGACCCGGCGCCACTACTACGGCCGAGGGCCCCACATGTAACTGGGTGACGTAGAGATCCGCCTCATCAGCCTTCGACCTTATCTCTAGGGCGACGGTATTCAGGTAGGAATACCCCTCGGGCATATCGAGGGGCTTCCCTTGGTCTGCGACGCTGCCTTTCTTCTTGGAAGCAGCACCCTTCGTCTTCTTTTTCCCGGGGGCCACCCGGAGGGGAACCGCGTTCAACGGCCGAGAGGTGCTGGCCTCAACAGTGCCGCGAGGGGGGAGAACAACGACGGTGACCCTCGCGCCCTCTCTCAGCGCCTCTTCCTTAGCTACTTGTCAGGCGAGGGCCAGCTCTTCGTCCTCGCATTCTTGTTCGAAGCCCTCGGCTACCACCTCAGCTACGAGGGCTCTCTGCAGCTCCATCGCTACAACGACATCTTGTCCCACTGAGGGCTGTTCACTTGTGGACTCCACGTCCGAGACAATTTCCTCCTCCATCGAGGGCGCCCCCGAGATATCTTGAGAGTCGCTCTGTGAAGACATTGTCTGTGCTAGCTCAGGGGTTCAGGGATACTAAGTGCCCAAGTTGCGATACCTAAGTACAACTCCTAAGACCGCTAAGCACAGCTAACTAAGAGAGGAGAAGAGCAGGTGGGAACTGACCTTGGAACGGGAGTTATATCGAGGGCAAGTGTTTCTCTCTCTAGGAAAAATCCGGCAGAGCTTCGCTAACAAATGATCGCACAAGAGAAGTGTTGCCTAGCCATGGGGTATTTATAGGCACATTAATCCGGGCTTGGGCCTGAAAACCGGGCCTCCGGTACAAAATCATCATTGCCAACCGACGTGTTGCCCAATCGGTGACACCCGCCCACGGGCGGCCAACGAGCACGCACCACGTGGAAGCCCCCCCCAACGGCTATATTTTGACGTTAGATATTCCAACGGCTATATCTCCAACGACTATATTCTGGGAGCTCCCAGCTACATTCAGTAGACCACTCCTCCGTCAACCAAGAAGCTAGCTCCCGGGCTTTTTACTTCACTCCACTTCATCCAGAAGAGCCCCCGAGTGCACTTACCCAGAGACGCTCCCGGATTATGCCCCTCATACTACATCACAGAGGCCTTCGGGCTCACTCATTCAGAAGCCCACGACTTCATAACTAGCGGAACCCTCGGAGATTCCCCCCTCAACACTTTGAGGACCAGGGTAGCCCCCGGGGAGTACACCTCATGGACAGATAGCCTACGACACACAGATAACGGGAGCCCTCAGACACCCTCCTCACCAACTGATCACCTAACAGGGGACCTCCCCGGTAACACTTCAACTACATTCATCACGCCCTCGATCCCCAGATTGAGGGACTCCCCTTCGGCACCTCCCAGGATATCAACAGCAAGCCTCCGGCTAATCAACACACGCGCCCTCAAAATAAGGATAGCCTTCGGCATAAGCATTGTACTCCATTTCAAACCAGGGCTTCACATTTTCTATTCATCATTGGGGGAATTCGGTGCACTCTTTTTCCCTCATTAGGATTTTTTCCCACAAGGTTTTTTCTAATGAGGTTTTTAACGAGACACCCCCCCCCAAATGAAACGAAAATCGTCAATTTTCGGCCCAATACAACAACATAAATACTCTACTCCTTTTCACCACTTTGCAAGTGCCTCAAGGAGTGGGGGACTGGAGAACCCCCTCGGGGAAAATCACAAAAAGTGCAAAATGCTAAAAACTCCCGCAAACAGCAAACATGCCCCTTCAAGTCCCGACATGTGGGTAACTGAGGGACTGCCCTCGACAGAATAAACAAACAGCAAACTACCCACAACACTACAAACTACAACGGAACAACGACAGAGGATAAACACAATTACTCCTTTTCCCTCAAGTACCTTTCGGCAAAAGGTGTGAGGGACTCCTGATGGAGTATATGTCCCGGGAACCCCCGGTCCACAGACTCCTACTACTCCAATAAAGGCCCAATAGGCCCAGGAAGCACAACAGGCCCAAATCACAGCGTCCAGAGTACCAAGCGGCCCACAGTGCACACCAGGAGTGCCTTCGCCCCCCTGGCCGAAGGCTCCAATTCTCACAGGATGGCCAAATCAGGAAAACAAGGTTACCGGGAGAAAACGGCGAAAATCAGTAGCCCTCGGCACCTAGAGCCCTCGGCACTAAGGGGGTCCCCGGTACTCAGAGCCCTCGGTTAGTCATCTACAGCCGAGGGCACCTTTTCCGACATGATATCCGTTCCACATGCGTATGGATCACCGTACCAAGTACGACGTCACATCCAACAGCCGCATTAAATGCGGCCACATGCGATTGCCAGCGCCAACCAGTTGAGGTGACCCCTCGGCCGATGGACGCTTGAGACGTGTCCCTGTCTGGCATTTATTGCTACTATAAATAGCACCCCATTTCCCCGTTGTAAACCACGCGGAGAACGCTTAATACATATCGAATATACACTCTCTCTCTTACTTATTTGCTCTGACTTCTCTATAGTTATTCTCCGCAATAACCCCTCGGATAAGCTACCCCTCGGGTACACTATCCATCAATATTTTTCATGATTATTTTTGTATAAACATACAATATTATTTTAAAAATGATCTAAATTGTTTTGATAATTTTAGAAAATCAAAATGTTCCCGAGCTTGACGGCTTGAGGTAGATCCACCTTCTCTTATAAATGAGTAAATTTATGGAGCCCATTATGGATGAACTGAGACGAGTCAGCCCGATCCGGGACTCGACCGGGTATTGTGCAGGCCCAACCGGGCAGTACCAGAATTGGGGGCCCGAACTGGTTGTTTATGGGGCGGGCTACAGGGCTACGAGCCATGATTTTAGTGGCCCGGCTGAGCCGGATCAAATTTTTTATTTTTTATTTTTTGGCATTAGGGTGATGCTAGGTGGGTTGAGCTAGGTGTTTTGCTGGGTTTGAGGGTGGTGTAGAAATAAATTCGAAAAGGCTAATTCAAAAAATTGACCTGACCAGACCCCACCCGGATTCAAACCCGGGCCGTACCGGACCTTCGTCCTAAAACCCCGGTCGCGCCCAATCCCAGCCTGAAGGTTTGTTTGTTACTAGTCGGGTCGACCCAGCCGTGACCATACTAATGGACAAAAGGCTCATCCGAGCCAACCTGATCCCGTTTTTGTATGGTAGTCCACTCATAAACCCTGGCTTGAAAATTCCTACGTATTAATACCATCCTTATCTGTTGACGGTGGGTGTCGCCGATTGCCGTTGAAGGGAAGCAGAGACGCCGGAATGGCGTCACAGCACGGCATCAAACTCGCCGTTTATCTCGTCTCCTCCTTACTCGGCGATCAAAACGCCGTAAATCACTGAACACTAAATTCCTTATTTTGTTTGGGGGAAAACGTTTTTAGTCCAGTGTTGATTATTTGTCTGATTTTTCGGAATTTCAGAAAGTATGTGAGTGTCTGTTGAGAAGAGGAACCCTAACATTACAGCAGATTATTCAGTTCACAGAGCTTAGCGCAGATAATGTAAGGAAGTGTCTACTCGTGTTAATTCATCATAACTGTGTTCAAGCCTTTGCCATTAAACAAGATGGTATTATATTTAATTCCCTATTGCCAACATGACTTTGCCAATTATACTATTTTTTTAACTCCATGTGACATTGATGGTCATGCTGTGGTTTGTGAACATAGGTGCATTTGGGACTCAACCAAAAATTGTGACTAATTACATGGCATTATTTGATAATATAATCCATAGGATGAGGTTTCCTAAGTTTCTAGAGATTGTGTCCCAGGAGCTTGATAAAAAAGTGAGTTTGTGTTTGCACTCTTAATTTTCCTGCTTTAATTATTACTCCGCATTGTGATTTTAATTCTTTTCAAGATGAACACATTGGATTATATTTAGCTTATTGGCATCTTGTTCAGTGCGGAGAGATGTTTGAAGGGTTGCTTCAGCATGGCAGGCTTTCTTTCAGCCAAATACTTGATAGGCACAAGGAAACGGCAAAACAAGGTTAAGGGCACATCCTCTATGTAATGCTCATACGTAATGTGTGACAATTTTATTTAGCTTAGTTTCCCCATAAATGCTTTGTGTATCTATCTCCAAAGTTTAATGATTGACAACAATCATCAGAAAATAAGGAAGGATACACAAAAAATAATAATCTCAATAGCTCCTCTATAAAAAGTAAAAAGAACCCTTATTATAATTATAAACACATTCATTTACAATTATTAGTAAATCGTTTCCTTGACTAAATCCTATACCATTCCAGAAGTTTCTGGTGAAGATGATGTGTTCGATAGATTCCAACGCCTTGTTCAAGCTCGATTTGTAGAACACTGTCCAGACCCACTACCATTTCTTGAACCGTCTTCTAAAGATGAATCCGCAGCAAAGAAAAAAGCCAAAAAAGCTGGCAAGGTTTTTTCGTTTGCTTGTTTCCAGAACTTCTTTGGTTTTGCTGTTTTTCTGTTTGATATTTTTGAGGTTTGTTTGTGCTAACTTCTAATGCAAACAACCCAAATTGCATGCCCCAGTGCCATTTGTAAAAATGTAGACAACGATGAATATAACTTGTTATAAAAGATCAAAGGGAGAGGTGCGAAAGTTGATTTGCTTCTTAATTTCAAATTCATGGTTCATATCTCAATGTTTTTACATGCATTAATGGCTTTTAAGAAGTTATTATGTGGTTGTATTTTAAGAGTTTGCTATTGACGTGTGAAAACAGTTCGCCGAAAAGAGTATAGAGACCCAGGCTTTAGAAGAAGCATCTCCCATGGAATCATTAAGGTTTTCAGTTGAAATGGACTCCTGGAATGACGTTCCTGGGTGCAGCAAAAACACCAAAAAGGAAATAAGTGTGGCAGTTGGAGGGAAGGTTTGTCTTTTTGCAGTGTATTTCTGTGATACATATATTGGATATGTGCAGTCTTTATATATGGAGCTATCTTATAAAGGTGTCCTATTTTTGTTCTCATTGCTTAGCGCAAGAAAGATGAGACTGAGTTGTTGGTGAAAGATGAAAAGAAAGTGCTTTGGCGTGTTAATTGTGAAGAGTTTGTGCGCCGCTTAAGACATAAGGTTGGCATTCATCTCAATTGCTCCAATTATATTTAATATTTAATATCCTACAAATTCAGGATTGTGGTCACAATTGCTTTTCATGCAAATCTCATACATTAAACAGCTTGAATTGGGGTGTATGCTAGCGGAAGATCTGTGTTCCGCTTATTTTGTGTAGAAACCCTAGTAGAGTTGGGCTTAGCCCATTTTGTAAATCCTTGTATATGGAACCCTAGTGCTCTAAATATAGCTATAAATATAGCTTCTTGTATAGCATTTGATATCAAATATATAAAATATAACGATACTTGTTCACATGGTATCAAAGCCTATATGACAAACAATTTAGGGAGCTGGTTTCCGGCATAATTTCTGGCGTGAACGGTAGCTGCGATTGGTGTTGGAGCACACTTCCGGTAGTGAATATCCGATCTACACCTACCGCCTTGCTCAACATACCATCGCAACAACCCGCCCGGAACAGTACCGGCACGGAGGCTACCACGCGCCCTCACGCGCCATCGCCCCTTCCTGCAGCTTACTTACATATTTGCAGATCTACTTCGTTCTAGTTATCCGGAGATCACACAGAAGACACACTGAAGATCTGTGACTCCTGGCGACCAAAACAACATAAACCAGCCACTCATCGGACAACTCACGCGGCGCCGCCGATCACACGCGCCGCCGCCGAACCCTCGTGCCGCCCAGATCGGTCATCGTCGTCGCCGTTTCTCTGTCCGCTCACCGCTGCTCTGGCCGTTCACTGCTGCTCCGGCCGTTTCACCGCTGCTCCAGCCGTTTCATCGGACAGTTCTTCCGCTGCTTCTGCTCTCAAAGGTCAAGGACAAATTGATCACTTGCTTAAGGATGCCAATTCAGTCAAGGATAAGAAAATGGAATGGGAGAATATGGATGCATTGTTATGCAATGTTTTGTGGCAATCCATGGACTCCAAGCTTCATCTTACATATCAATCATATCGAACGTGTAAACAGATTTGGGAGAAAGCCTAGTCTAATTACACTAATGATATTCAAAGTCTGTTTTCTTTTGGATCCAAAATGCCATGCTCAAGCAACAAGAATTGGACATCCAGGATTTTCTAGGTCGGGCTGAGGCTTTACTCTTCGAGTATAATACCATTCAACCCATCACGGAAGATAGAGAGAAACAACTAGAGCAACGACAACAACTTGTTATGGTTTTAGCTTTGGCGGGTCTTCGCCCAGAGCTGTTATCTATACGTGAACAAATTCTCTCTAGTTCTACTGTTCCAACTATGACAGAGGCTTTTTCTCGAATTCTTCGTGCGCTCCCGATATCTGCTGAATTGGGTTCTACTGATGCTACCATTCTTGCATCTCATGGTGTGGGGCCCGACGGAAGAAACAACAAAGGATATCTGCGTCGAAGCCGACCTAAGTGTGACTACTGTCATAAGATTGGTCGTACTAAAGATAGATGTTGGAAGTTACACGGGAGACCTCCTAGCTCAGCCACTGTTGCTCAGATCCCGCCATCTCCGGTTATTCTATCTCCATCCGAATATGCCGCATATCAGAAATTTAAGTCGGCTAATGTGCCTTTGTCTGCACCTGGTACATCTACCGCTTGTGTTTCAAACACCGCAGGCTCATGGATCATTGACTCAGGTGCTTCCGACCATATTTCTGGTAATCCCCATCTTTTGTCCCATATTACTAAGCACCAACACCTTCCTTTAATTACTCTGGCTAATGGCCATCAAACTTCAGCCACAGGTATCGGGCAAGCACTTCCACTTTCATCCTTACCATTACATTCAGTCTTATATGTTCCCAATAGCCCCTTTAACCTTGTCTCTGTTAGTAAAATTACGCGTGCTCTTGATTGTTCTATAACCTTTTTTGCCGATTCTGTAATTGTGCAGGACCGTCGTACGGGGAAGACGATTGGCGTCGGGCATGAATCTCAAGGCTTGTATCATCTTCCTCCTGTTGATCCAATCGCTTGTGTCTCCGCTGAACCTGCATTAACGGTACACAACCGTTTGGGTCATCCTAGCCTCTCTAAGTTTCGACGTATGGTTCCAGGTTTCTCAAGTCTTTCGTCTTTAGATTGTTAGTCATGTCACCTTGGAAAGCAACCTCGTCAATCCTTTCCAAGGCGTGTTAATAAACGGGCTGCGTCCCCTTTTGATTTAGTTCATACAGATATATGGGGTCCGTATCGAGTCACTTCTACTTTAGGATTTCGCTATTTTGTTATTTTTGTGGACGACTTTTCCCGTTACACATGGTTGTTTTTAATGAAAGAACGTGTTGAATTATTCCATATTTTTCAAACTTTTTGTGCCGAAATCCACACTCAGTTTGGTCATTCTATCAAAATTCTACGCAGTGATAATGCTAAAGAATTTTTTGCGGCACCCTTTAATCACTTCATGACATCACGGGGTATGCTTCACCAGTCTTCTTGTGTGCACACGCCTCAACAAAATGGGGTAGCTGAACACAAGAACAGACACTTAGTTGATACTGCCCGCACTCAGTTATTACATTCACATACACTACCTCAGTATTGGGCAGACGCTGTACTCACTGCGTGTTATTTAATAAATAGAATGCCTTCCTCAGTTATTCATAATGAAATTCCTTATTCTGTCTGGTTTCCTACTCATGAGTTATTTCCATTACCACCTCATGTGTTTGGGTGTGTGTGTTTTGTCCATGATTTTACACCTGGATTATCTAAAATGTCAGCTAGGTCAATAAAATGCATTTTTCTTGGATATTCACGAATCCAAAAGGGTTATCATTGTTATTCTCCATTACTTAAGAAGCATTTTATTTCGGTTGATGTCACTTTTATCGAGTCCTCCTTTTATTACCCATTATCTGCTGCTGACACTCCATCATGTTTGGACTTCATCTCATATCTCCGGCCCATCCATCCAGAAACTGTTAGTTCCCCTCCATCTGATGAGCACTCCCACTTCTCTCCTGTGGTAGACCCTCCTCCATTACAAGTTTACCATCGTCGCCCTCGACCTCCTCCCATTGAGCCTATCGTGGACACGCCAGTTGATTCCCCTTCCCCTATGACGGTTCCTGCATCATCACCATCACCTACCGCACCACCCGGAAACACTCCGGATGATTTGCCCATTGTCCTCCGAAAAGGTACGCGTTCTACTTTGAATCCACATCCCATATATAACTTTTTGAGTTACCACCGCCTCTCTACCCCTTACTTTGCTTTCATCTCACACTTGTCTCATATACCCATCCCTAAAACAACACATGAGGCATTGGCACATCCGGAATGGCGTAAAGCCATGTTGGCTGAGATGGAGGCTCTTCATTCTAGTGGGACGTGGGAATTAGTTCCCCATTCCCCTGACAAATCGGTGGTTGGGTGTCGGTGGATCTACACCGTTAAAGTTGGTCCTGATGGGCAAGTTGATCGTTTTAAAGCACGCCTTGTGGCAAAAGGGTATACTCAGATTTATGGTTTGGATTACACTGACACTTTTTCTCTGTAGCGAAGATTGCATCGATTCGTTTGATTTTATCCATGGCAGCAATGAGCCACTGGTCATTATTCCAATTGGATTTTAAAAATGCATTTCTTCATGGTAATCTGCACGAGGAGGTTTATATGGAGCAACCACCTGGTTTCGTTGCTCATGGGGAGTCTGGTTTGGTATGCAGATTACGTCGTGCTTTATATGGCTTGAAGCAATCACCACGTGCATGGTTTGGGAGGTTTAGTGTTGTTATCTGCGATTTTGGCATGATTCGCAGTGATGTCGACCATTCTATATTTTATAGACATTCTGCAGGCAACAAATGTATTTATCTTGTTGTATATGTTGATGACATTGTCATTACAGGTAGCGATGAACAAGGAATTGCACTCCTGAAGCAATATCTATTTAGCAAATTCCAAACAAAAGACTTGGGAAAGTTGAAATACTTTCTTGGCATTGAGGTTGCACAGTCCCAAAATGGAATTGCCATTTCACAAAGAAAATATGCATGGGATATTCTTGAGGAAACAGGTATGCTAGATTGCAGGCCAGTGGATACACCTATGGATCCAAACGTCAAACTCTTGTCAGAACAGGGAGATCTTTTGCCCAACAGCGAAAAATATAGAAGACTCATTGGCAAATTGAATTATCTTACCATCACGAGGCCAGATATTTCATTTGAGGTAAGTGTCCTTAGTCAGTTTCTTGATAAACCATGTAATGGACATTGGGATGCGGCTATTCGAGTTTTAAGATACATCAAGAAAACACCTGGGCAAGGATTGGTGTTCGTAGACCGAGACCATCATGATATTGTAGGATACTGTGATGCAGACTGGGCCGGATGTCCGATGGATAGAAGTTCCACGTCGGGATATTGCATCTTGATTGGTGGAAACTTAATCTCATGGAAAAGTAAGAAACAGGATGTGGTTGTCAGATCTAGTGCTAAAGCAGAATATCGTGCAATGGCCCTTGCGACATGTGAAATCTTATGGTTGAAGCATCTTCTCCGAGAGTTAAAATATGGAAACACAAAACCGGTCCAACTCATGTGTGACAACCAAGCCGCAATGCACATTGCATCAAATCCGGTATATCATGAGAGGACTAAGCATATTGAAGTTGATTGCCATTTTATCAGAGAGAAGATCGCGAGCGGACATATCATCACAAATTATGTCAACACAACCGAACAACTTGCAGATATTCTAACTAAGTCTCTTAGAGGTCCTAGAGTGGGATATATTTGTAACAAGCTTGGTACATATGATTTATATGCTCCAGCTTGAGGGGGAGTGTAGAAACCCTAGTAGAGTTGGGCTTAGCCCATTTTGTATATCCTTGTATATGGAACCCTAGTGCTCTAAATATAGCTATAAATATAGCTTCTTGTATAGCATTTGATATCAAATATATGAAATATAACGATACTTGTTCACATTTTGAAAGGCTCTTTGAAATGGATTATGTCAATAAACTAAAAACTTTGGAATCGTAACCATAGGTTCTTATAAGAGCAAGGTTGTCAAAATCGTGATTTGAATCGTAGGATCGTACGATTCTACGATTAAGAATCAATTCAATTCGAATCATGTATAAAGTCGGACTACATAAAAATCGCTCATAATCATTCTAAAATCAGAAAAAATCGATTGAAATCGCGATTTCCATCGATTTCACAATTTCAAATTACATGGACCAGACTAAGGTTTTGCCCACACCAACCACTGACCATTTTCATCAGGCCAGGAACAATTCAACGAAATTGTTGCCTTCTCGTTGCCGTCGAGGCTCGGCATTATATATGGCAACAGAGAAGGGAAATCACCCTCTCTTTTTGGTGGTGGGAAAGCTGCAATATATAACAAAAAATACTTTTTTTTTGAAGAAGTGTCTTCTTGGCTAGGACTCGAACCATGCAACTTTCACCTAACAATGGCAGTGTCATCCCAGCTTAGCTATGCTAACTATTGTTCTCTTTTGAATTTTGAACTAATGTTTACATGTACTCTCACCACTCATATATATTATGAAATTTGATATTAAAACATCATATTTACTTGTTGAAATCCTTGAATATCTAACAGTATTAATTTGTAATTATAGTGTGCACTTTGATTAAGACATCATCTTAAGATTTAAATTTATGATTCAATTTGTTAGTGTAAAATTTTGAGTTTTCTTTTAAATAATATTTTTAATAATTACTCCGTATTACCTAATGTTTTTATAAAATCTTACGATTTATGATTCTAATCTCAGATTCAGTTTTCAAATCCTTATACTGGTTCAATTTAAAAATACAATTTTAACAACCTTGTATAAGAGATTAAGAGATTAATAGTACATAAGCTGAAAATAAGTTCATCTAATGGCTTATATTATTGTAGTATCTTCTATTTCATACCATCACATATTTTTAGGCTTGTGTTGCAAATGTGAAAGCACGACTTAATGAAGAAGCTGCAATTGTTCTTGATGCCATCCTGGAACTGAGTAGAAGCTCTGGAACCCAAGTAAAAGCTGATAATTCAGGTGATCATAATTTGCATCTCATGAACTACATAAATTTGACCATGTTTGCTTTGAGACATGATAAAAAAATTGTACCTTATAAAGGTTCGATCTTGTCAAGTGCTCAAGGTTCCATCAACATGCATCGCTGTTTAAAAAAGATGGTTTTCAGTTTTGAAGTCACCATGTAAGACTTATAAGTCGACACGAGTCTTGTACACACTTGAGTGTAACCTCCAACTATTTATGATTTTCTTTATTTTATTGAATTTGTTCACCCCAGTTTATTTGTATTCCATTATGCATTATAGGTTTACGTTTAGGCCATATATCTGTCTTGCAGTGTAAACTAGCTGCTCGAATCACAAGTATTGTTTCCAGAAGCGTCATAAGGCTACAGATAGCGTTAAATGCAATTTGGAATTAAGTCAATTAACTGAGTTTTGACAATTGCATTACTTTCTTTCTCAATATTGTTCGTTATCATGCTCTGCCTTGATTAGTAAAATTCTTCTTTTGTAGCATCATTGTCTATAAGTTCAATTTATGATGCTGTGATAACAAAAGAAGGTGGTCTTGGTATGGATTTGGAACGCATCAGAGGCTCACTTGTCCAACTGGGTTGTGAAGTTCCTCTGATCCCGATTGATGAGTCATATAGTATTGGTACATGCCATTATTAATGCCTTGTTGATTTTCCCTTCAGAGAGAAGCTTGTTTAAACTGCAGAAGGTGTGATTTTAAAGTAAATCACAGTTTTTACTTTCTTTAAAAATGATATGGGTTAATCTTTTTTGCAGATCTAAAGAATATAATTGAAGTAGCAAGGACTGAAGAGGTTCTTATTTTTCATATAGCTTCCGTCCCAAAAAAAGGTCTTGCTTCAAACACTTTTTCTCAAAAAAAGAGACCACCTATGATTAATCAAATCTAGCTCTTTATGTAATTTGTAGAATAACGTACCAAGAGAGTCACAAACAAGATGCATATGATAAATTTAGTAACAAATACATAAGTCTTAAAGATAGAATTTGTGAGTTGCGACTTACAACATTTGTACCATGCCAAAATTTCAAAGTTGTACATTAATCAAACATGACTTCTATTTTTTGGGACAGAGGTAGTACATTATAATTATTTATCGTTTTGTGCTATGAGTATTGGAGAAGATCGCCCTCTTTTTATTGTTATATTCACTAATGCTATGCAGGTGGAGCCCATTGTGTTAAAACGGTATGGAAGGGAGGCCTATAGGATGTTTAGGCTAGTCTCAAAAACTGGCCGACTCATGTTAACTGAAGAGGTATTAAGTTGTAAACATTCCCTTTTCTAAACATTTCTTGAGAAACTGTATTTATTGCTACAAAATAACTTACATATGTAACCCTTATCAAATGAATTAATTTGGCTCATCCGGAAACAACCTCTTTGTGCTTTAGTATAGGGGTAAGGCTGTGTACAACTGACCCGCCCTTACCCCCCTTACCCACCGTAAGTTGGAGCCTTTGTGGCATTGCGGTAATGTTGTTGTTGTTGTAAAGAAGTTTATATAATGAACTTGTATATTCTATGTAAAAACGCTCATCTTACTTGCCTGCTGACTTTGCCTGGTACGGTACTTTCAATGACAGATTTCAGATGCCACGTTTGTTGAAAAGAAAGATGCACTCAGGATTCTTCTTGGACTTTGGCAGGATGACTACTTGCAGATGAAGGTAATATAGTTGCAATCCCCCATGAAACAAGGGGGATCTATATGCTTTTAATTTGTTCAAAGAAAGAAATGCAGCAGTTCCTGCCCTATAATTGGTTCTTTTGTTCTGTTGCAGAAAATAATTGTGCGCGGAAGTAATCAAACAGAACAAATGTTGTGGAATATTAGTAAACAGTTTCTCTGGAAGCGTGTTCTGGATGAAATGTACCACGCTGCATTGAATTTGAGACTGCGAATTACACACGAACAAGAGCAAGTCAAAAAGGTTATTTTCTTTTGCCTTTCTCTGTTGCATATAAATATGTGCTCTGCCAAATCCCACGCTACCTGTATTTCGTCGCTATAGCATTTTAAAAGCTAGATGTTACGCTCTGCTATCCATGATTCACAACATTGATATACATATATGCTCAGAGTATATATATAGGAAATTTTTCCAAATAGGAGTTGAAACAATTATTTTTGAAAGTAGGAATAAAAACATTATGATATACTCCGTATCAAAATAGTAGTACTATATATTTTCCCACCCTAATAGGAGTAAATTACTTTCGTCTTGAAAACATGCTGCCATATTTTGGAATTATGAGACATTTATATGATAATATTATTATCATAATAATTGATAGTATTTTCTCAACATGGCAGTACTTACTCCAATTAGGAAAATCATATTACTAATTTCTTGGAATATCACATTATTTTTACTCCTTTTCATGGTAATTTCGTATATATATAGGAAAAATTGATATACATATATACTCGGAGTATATATATAGGAATTTTCCCAAATAGGAGTAAAACATTTTTTTTTGAAAGTAGGAATAAAAACATTATGATATATTAAAATACTAGTACTATATATTTCCCACCCTAATAGGAGTAAATTACTTTCGTCTTGAAATCATGCTGCCATATTTTGGAATTATGAGACATTAATATGATAATATTATTATCATAATAATTGATAGTATATTCTCAACATGGCAGTACTTACTCCAATTAGGAAAATCATATTACTCATTTGTTGGAATATCACATTATTTTTACTCCTTTTCAGGGTAATTTCGTATATATATAGGAAAAATTGAAAAATAATAATTGCAACTGTTGCCGGTTTGCTGTTAGCTTGTTAGTAATCTCAACTATCGATTATTTTTTGGTGATCCGAGCTATAGGGACCATTAGCCAAAAATACTCCCTCACTTGCTACAACATGATATAGCAGGTAACTTTTAAATGAAAACTAAGCATAAGCTATAAATAAACTCAACTACAATCGTTCTCTTTTTATTAATCCCAATTATCAACACTCAATATTCTTTTGAAGTAGAAATGTTTGTATAAATTTCCAATTTCAATATTTTTAGAATACGCAAAAATAATTATGAAATTCTACAAATGTTTTTAGTCCTTTCTTACTTTATTTTCCGTAATATTTCATATTTTCTTTCTTTTCCAAATCCTTTTTTACCCAGTTGTGTTACCAATTTTTTATTTATAGTATTTTCCTTTGTCCAAATTTACATTTTTTGTTTTCAAAAAGTATACGGTGATTCAAAATTGAAGGATTTAGGGATTTTCCAATTGTTTTAAGAAAAATTATTTTATTTAGTTTTGTTGTGTTATCTTAATTCTAAAAATTGAAATTTCGCTTTCTTCCATTTGTAGTATTTTTAATTTCTTTCTACTTTATTTTATATTGTTATATTTTATAAATTACTCCCTCCGTTCCTAAATAAACTTCCAACTTTTCTTTTTCATCCGTTCCAATTAAATTTCCACTTTCTTTTTTTGGTAAAGAATTTGTGGTTCACAACATTTCTTACACATTTCTCTCTCCTCTGCACAACTCTCCACCACACAATACCCACTTTTCTTAAATTGTGTGCCAAAGTGGGTTGGAAGATAAAATAGGAACAAAGGTAGTACATTATAAGTATGATGTAGTCTGGAGATTAAATTTTAAGATTTAGGGTATATGTCTTGAAAGTTTTGGGTAATTTTAATGAAAGGAGTTAAGATTATAATTTTAAATGATATAATAAAAATTGTAAATAATGTAGTGAAAGTGTAAATTGTTTCAAAAAAAAGATGAAAATGCATGAATAGAGGATAAAAAGGTAGAAAAGTAAGAAAATGTATGTATATATAAATAAATAAAAATTTATCAAAATAGAAAAGTTGTGCATGTAATAAAATATTTCAAGAAAAAATATACTATCCTCCGTTCTTTAATTCTTGCAACAGTTTGACTTTTACGTTTGCCAACGCACAACTTTGACCGTAATTATATTTAATTATGTATTAGTAAGCATTATAAAAATTTGATATTTTGGAAATTCACATAGATAGGAATTTAATAACATTTTATACGTAATAATTTGATATGTATATTAGTAGAAAATCGTGGTCAAAGTAAGGTCTGTGAATAGTGCAAAAATCACAATGTTGCAAGAATTAAACAACAGAGGAAATATATGGCAAGTTAATAGACAAGGATATAGTACTATTTTTCATCTATTTTCGATTTATTATGTTGGGACTACTAACAATAGATGAACCATAGTTCGGATTACTAGAACGGGACAACAGGCCCTAAATATCCTTTTTTGAACGGGACAACAGGTGACCGGGTACAAGGGAATATTATTGACACATGACCTTTATAGTTGGGATCACTCAGGAATAATCGATAGTTGAGATTATTAATAGTGGATCGACAATAATTAGGATTATAATTTTCAATCTTTTCATATATATGATCACATTGGAATGTGATCAAATGAGAACTGTCATTAATAAATGAACTCAACTTTTATCCCATCACTAAGTGCACCGGCATGAATAAAATGTGCACTATTTTTCATAATTCTCATTTCTCACGCGAAGTCATTCTTGACAGAATCAGACCTTACACACATACGATTCTAATATTTATAAACATTACAATTATTCTTGGCTCGAAATCTAGCTCGAGCTCGAGTATGAATATCAATTTGAATTCAAGCTCGAACACATCAAAAACTGAAGAGGCGAACTCGAGCCATGATTATTAAGCTTGTTGGAGCTTGAGCTCAAACTCGACCCTACACAGCTCTAACTTTGATTGTATCCCTACCTTTAACTAATGCTATCACTATTTACTACTTGAAAAATCACAGCTTGTAGGGGAGCTGGGCAGAGGAGACGGGAGATCTGCAAATGTTAGGCTTCTACTAGAGTCTGCCTTTATGAACCTTGATGATGCTATCATGCTCTTCCATGACTTTTAGGTGTTCAAAACTTTTAACTTACCCCGCTACTTCTTGTAGTTTGTACACATTTTTATTAATTTATAAAAACAAATGGCGAACAATGATAATGAAGCTTGACATCATAGGTTGCTGCATAACCTGCGTGTGTAACACTGAGATTAACAATAACAATATTATAATTAGAGGGTGGATTCGGTTCGGTACCTGAACCGAAATAGGAAAATCCCGAACTGAACCGAAAATTCGGTTTCTCAAATTGTCCAACCCGTAACCGAACTGATAATAATTGAAACCCAATTTTTCAGATACCGATTTTTCGGGTTGGTTTTTCGGTTTGATTAAAAATCGAAATGAATTTCGAAATTTTGACTAAAGAGTGGCAATGAAGCAAAGCTTGACCACCTGTTTTAGGGGTGGATTGAATCGGACTGAACCGGACCGGCTTGCTACTGTGTGGACCTGGACCAAAAAATTATACCTATCCTTATCATTCTTTGAGGTACCCCCATCAGTTCTAAAAACTTTGAGGGAAACTCATAAAATTGAAGCAAGAGATTCAGAAAAACTTCCTCTCAAATAAAATGTGATCCTAAACAGTAAACTTTTTGCAATCACATTTACAAATGAAAAGGAAATGCAAAAGGAGATCCAGAATTCTGAAGAAGTAGACGAAGAAAAAGACACGGAGCTCCAGCTGGTCAAAGAAGAGGATGAACCGAGTTTCAAGGTCAAATACCTATCCTTATCATTCTTTGAGGTATCCCCAATCCCCATTAGTTCTAAAAACTTTGAGGGAAACTCATGAAATTGAAAAGGAGAGTGACATTTTTGAAATTCTCAGCAAAATTGAGGGATCCAAACATTTTCCATTGACCATGTTAAATGATAATTTATTTCCCTCACTCCCACCACATGAATCTAGGAAGGATCGCGTGAGGAATGAAACAATCAGACAAAGGGTGGGAGTAGCACCTATTGAAGACAAGATGCGGGAGTCGTGCCTACGGTGGTTTGGTCATGTGCGTAGAAGACCGAGTGATGCACCTGTTAGGTGAGTTGAGATGTGTGGAGAAGAGGCAGGGAAGAGAGGGAGAGGAAGACCCAAACAGACGTGGGTTAGGGGAGTTCGAAGTGATATGCTTCTTCTGGGGTTGGATGAGGGTATGACTTTGGAGAGAACTAAGTGGAGGGCGGGTATTCTCGTGAAGGAGTGATCTTGATAATCTTTTTCCCTCATCTTTTTTTCCTAGTTTTTTTATCCTTATATATATATATATATGCATTATTTGCAGCCTTTTTATTTTATCATTTCTATATATATTCATCTTTTTTATATTATCTTTTCATAATAGCTTATCTTTTTATCTTTATTCCTTCTTTTCCTTTTGGTTGTGATATCATGTATCGATTCATGTTAGCCGACCCCAATATCTTTTGAGATTAAGGCTTGGATGTTGTTGTTGTTGTTGTTCCCACCACATGAATCAATGAAAATCTGGATATTTGATCCTGGAGGGATTTTCAAAGTGAAGAGTCGGGAAATTGAGCATTCCTATGGAAGTCCTAGGAGTGAAAGTGTGAAGAAGATAAATATCATGATCCAAGTTTGAATGATTGAACACAATGATAACGTCGTGCCGCGACGTTAAATGAGGCGTTTCTTGGAGGCAACCCATTAAAGGTACGTTTACTTGTTTTATTTGTACACATTTAAAAAAAATGACTTGGGGATTGAACCCGGTCGGGTATGAAACCCAACCCGGTCGGGTCCCTTCATAAAACACATCACCCGACCTAATCACCCGGGCGAAGCTGTTGTGGAAGAGGAAAAATTGAAACACCCGACCGGGTCTACTACACCACCTGGCCGGGCGTTTTGCCTCTGAACCCTCTGGAACGAGAACCCATCCGGGCAAAAGTCAAAATTTTTTTAAAAATGAAAAACACCCGACCGGGTCACGTACCCCACTCGGCCGGGTCATCGGGTTTTGACAGCAAAAGGGTCGGGCAATCCTCTTTCTTCCTCATACGAATCACACCTCTCAAAACCTCCATTTTCGCATCTCAAACCTTCAATTCCCCCTATTTCTCCACCAAATCCACCACTTAAACACATTTTCTTCTTCTCCTCAACACCCTCTTCCATTTTCTACCCAAAAATCCCACCCAAATCCATCCCCAAAAGAAATCCGAATTCCCTAACTCCACCTATACCAAGTCAGAATTTTTGCTCAACCAAAAAGAAAATAAACGACAACAAAAAGGGCAAAGGGGTTCATTCTATTGGACGTCTCGGACACAAGCACTAGGGACAATGCTTTGGTTAGCTTGGGGGGAGAGTTTTATGGAATACTCACATTCATACTCTTTATTCTTGTTAAAAAAATTAAAAAAATTAATAAAAGCTTGTTAAGTTGAAAACCTGAAAGGCAACTTAAGCAAAAATAAAGCAAAAATAAGAATGAGTTGTGAGGATTAAAATAGAAAAATATGGGAAGCTGGGATGAAAACCCGAAAGGGCACCTAGGCAAAATGAGATAATGAGAGAAAGTATTTTCTTTTATTTCTGCAGGATCCTAAGGGTAATGAAAAAAAAGTTGAGGTTGATAAGAAATATGGAGTTGAAGACCCCTTTTTACGGTTATATTTTTGGGGATATACTTTATGTGTTTCTAAAAACACTCTTGGATGTTTGTGTTGATACTCTTGTCATTTTAAGGACTTCTTGGACTGGATTTGATTTACTCGGGACGAGTAAAGGTTTAAGTGTGGGGTGTTTGATATGCACTAATTAGTCTTAAGCTCTTAAGCACTAATCATCCCTTCTTCCATACTCTTAAGCTCAGTTTAGAATAGCATTTCTTTATTTTTTTCTAGCATGTTTAGTTTCCAAATGAGGAGCTAAACTTCCATTTCTTGGTGTTGCTCTTGAAGCTTGTTGATTATTAAAGTTGTGAGTTATTTTCTTAACTTCTTCCCTTGAATATTAATTATTAGTTCTTTCCTTAATACTATCTCTATATTAATGTTGGAGAGTGTTGCTAAGATGACAATTAGTTAACATTTTGACATTAATTAGAGTAGTATTTTCTTCCTCTATATTAATGTTGAGGAGTGTTTCTAAGATAAAAATTAGTTAACATATTGATATTAATTATATTAGGATTCATCTCCTTTAATAATATTCTTCCTTGAATATTAATTAATTCCTATTCATATTGCATATTAATATTTTGAACATTACTTAAAGGATCAACTAGTTTTGTTTCATATATTAATTATTACTAAAAAAGGTCGACGAACCGATGGTTAATCGTTGATGGTTTCACAAGTAAGTAACTTCGATTTATTAATGCACGGTCGTGGTTGATAAACTTAAGAGGGATTAATTTTATTGGTTAAACCGAAACCGTTGTTGTTGAGGTTATCAATCTCAATTGATTTCATCGAGTTAAGAGATTAAATGCTACTATCAAGTCGGTATATGACAATGTTCTATACTTGACTAATAGTAAGGGTTATTAATGAACGGTTGTTGTTAATAACTACTTCGATGAATTGGATATACTCCTCGATTAAGTATTTGTGAGGGAATAAGTTATAGATATAACAATGATCGACTAAAATATATTAACAAGTGGAAAGTAGTAATGTCAAATTCTTTTATCTTTGAATTAAAACACATATAAGCTGTTCATCTTAGTTTTTAAATTAAATCATTCAATCCCCAAACCCCCTTTTATTTACTAGTTTCATAAAAAGAAAAGTATTCTTTTCCCTGTGGATATTAACTCTAGTACGCTATACTACATATAAGTGTTAATATTGAATATGATTTTGACGCACCGTGACAAAGTGTTCGTCAAATTTGGCGCCGTTGCCGGGGAAAGACAATTATTTTTCGTTTTATTTTATCTCATAAAAATCAAAATAAAAAAAAAAATATAAAAAAAACTTACTCTTCTATTTTCTGAGTTTACATGAGTTATGAGTATATGGATACCAACACTTCATCTTTAGAGAGTCAAATTTTCTTCTTTACTTCTCTAATAAAGGAATTTACCTTAAGCTCAAAAGCTCAAGTTGCCAAGACGCGCAACATTTGCATCTCTCACAGGCATCTTACGGATTTCTGCCCAAAGTTCCAAGATGAATACCTTGAACAAATTGATGATGTTGGTTACGAGAGGGATATACCTCACATGAGGTATGATCCGTTCTCCAAAATGAATACCTTGAACAAATTGATGATGTTGGTTACGAGAGGGATGTACCTCACATGAGGTATGATCCGTTCTCCAACTCTAACATGTCTACGGAGGATATGGTCCGGGCTATTGCTACCAACATGACCACCATGCAAAACAACATGGTGCAACTCCAAAATGAGACCAAGTCTAGCATTTTAAATTTGGAAACTCAAATGAGTCAAATAGCCGGAGCTGTGAGTAGGCTTGAAGCAAGGGATTCAGAAAAACTTCCTTCTCAAATAAAATGTGATCCTAAACAGCAAACTTTTACAATCACATTGACAAATGAAAAGGAAATGCAAAAGGAGATCCAGAATCTAGAAGAAGTAGACGAAGAAAAAGACACGGAGCTCCAGCTGGTCAAAGAACAGGATGATTCGCGTTTCAAGGTCAAATAACTATCCTTATCATTCTTTGAGGTACCCCCATCAGTTCTAAAAACTTTGAGGGAAACTCATAAAATTGTAAAGGAGAGTGACATTTTTGAAATTCTCAGCAAAATTGAGGGATCCAAACATTTTCCATTGACCATGTTAAATAATTTATTTCCCTCACTCCCACCACATGAATCAATGAAAATCTAGATATTTGATCTTGGAGGGATTTTCAAAGTGAAGAGTCGAGAAATTGAGCATTCCTATGGAAGTCCTAAGAGTGAAAGTGTGAAGAAGATAAACTATCATGATCCAAGTTTGAATGATGAACACAATGATAGCGTCGTGCCGCGACGTTAAATGAGGCGCTTCTTGGGAGGCAACCCATGCAAGGTACGTTTACTTGTTTTATTTTTGCACATTTAAAAAAATGACCTAGGGATTGAACCTGGTCGGGTATGAAACCCAACCCGGTCGGGTCCCTTCATAAAACACATCACCCGACCTAATCACCTGGGCGAGGCGTTGTGGAAGAGGAAAGATTGAAACACGCGACCGGGTCTGCTGCACCACCCGGTCGGGCGTTTTGCCTCTGAACCCTCTCGAACGAGAACCCGTCCTGGTAAAAGTCAAAAATTTTATAAAAATGAAAAACACCCGACCGGGTCACGTACCCCACCCGGCCGGGTCACGTACCCCACCCGGCCGGGTCATCGGGTTTTGACAGCAAAAGGGTCGGGCAATCCTCTTTCTTCCTCATATGAATCACACCTCTCAAAACCTCCATTCTCCCACCTCAAACCTTCAATGTCCCCCTATTTCTTCACCAAATCCATCACTTAAACACATTTTCTTCTCCTCCTCAACACCCTCTTCCATTTTCTACCCAAAAATCCCACCCAAATCCATCCTCAAAAGAAATCCGAATTCCCTAACTCCACCTACACCAAGTCAGAATTTTTGCTCAACCAAAAAGGAAACAAATGACACCAAAAAGGGGAAAGGGGTTCATTCTATTGGACGTCTCGGACACAAGTACTAGGGACAATGCTTTGGTTAGCTTGGGGGGAGAGTTTTATGGAATACTCACATTCATACTCTTTATTCTTGTTAAAAAAATTAAAAACAATTAATAAAAGCTTGTTAAGTTGTAAACCTGAAAGGGCAACTTAAGCAAAAATAAAGCAAAAATAAGAGTGAGCTGTGAGGATTAAAATAGAAAAATGTGGGAAGCTGGGATGAAAACCCGAAAGGTCACCTAGGCAAAATGAGAGAATGAGAGAAAGTATTTTCTTTTATTTCTGCAGGATCCTAAGGGTAATGAAAAAAAAAGTTGAGGTTGATAAGAAATATGGAGTTGAAGACCCCTTTTTACTGTTATATTTTTGGGGATATACTTTATGTGTTTCTAAAAACACTCTTGGATGTTTGTGTTGATACTCTTGTCATTTTAAGGACTTCTTGGACTGGATTTGATTTACTTGGGACGAGTAAAGGTTTAAGTGTGAGGGTGCTTGATATGCAATAATTAGTAGTGCATAAGTGTATGTTTTTATGTTGGATTTCTGTGTATTGTTTATCATTTTATTTAGTTTGTAAACATTTGTATGATTTTAGTTGTAATTGTATTTTAATCTTTATTTATAAGTTGTAAAGTAGATTTAGGATTTATGGTGTTGGAAAAGAGGACTCTGAAGAGAAGAAAACAAAAAATTTGACTGCCCATGAGCAAAACCCGACCGGATAGAAATCCCCACCCGATTTGGTAAGATTTAACAACCGAAGAAGCAAGGAAATTGCCAGACCCGGTCGGGTCTCATATGCCACCCGATCGGGTCAGACATGACCCGGGACAAATCGACGTGCAGATTCATGAGAACATGGAGGATTATTTGATTTTGACCGGACCCGGTCGGGTAAGTACTTGACCCGGTCGGGTACCTGGCCAAAGATGTTGAAAAACACCTATAAATAGCACACTTTTTCTTCTCTAAAAATCATCCCTTCTTCCATACTCTTAAGCTCAGTTTAGAATAGCATTTCTTTATTTTTTTCTAGCATGTTTAGTTTCCAAATGAGGAGCTAAACTTCCATTTCTTGGTGTTGCTCTTGAAGCTTGTTGATTATTAAAGTTGTGAGTTATTTTGTTAACTTCTTCCCTTGAATATTAATTATTAGTTCTTTCCTTAATACTATCTCTATATTAATGTTGGGGAGTGTTGCTAAGATGACAATTAGTTAACATTTTGACATTAATTAGAGTAGTATTTTCTTCCTCTATATTAATGTTGAGGAGTGTTTCTAAGATAAAAATTAGTTAACATATTGATATTAATTATAGTAGGATTCATCTCCTTTAATAATATTCTTCCTTGAATATTAATTAATTCCTATTCATATTGCATATTAATATTTTGAACATTACTTAAAGGATCAACTAGTTTTGTTTCATATATTAATTATTACTAAAAAAGGTCGACGAACCGATGGTTAATCGTTGATGGTTTCACAAGTAAGTAACTTCGATTTATTAATGCACGGTCGTGGTTGATAAACTTAAGAGGGATTAATTTTATTGATTAAACCGAAACCGTTGTTGTTGAGGTTATCAATCTCAATTGATTTCATCAAGGAGTTAAGAGATTAAATGCTACTATCAAGTCGGTATATGACAATGTTCTATACTTGACTAATAGTAAGGGTTATTAATGAACGGTTGTTGTTAATAACTACTTCGATGAATTGGATATACTCCTCGATTGAGTATTCGAGAGGGGATAAGTTATAGATATAACAATGGTCGACTAAAATATATCAACAAGCAGAAAGTAGCAATGTCAAGTTCTTTTATCTTTGAATTAAAACACATATAAGTTGTTTATCTTAGTTTTTAAATTAAATCATTCAATCCCAAAACCCCCTTTTATTTACTAGTTTCATAAAAAGAAAAGTATTCCTTTCCCTGTGGATACGAACTCTACTACGCTAAACTACGTATAAGTGTTACTATTTAATATTATTTTGACGCACCGTGACAAAGTGCTCGTTAGTTTCAAAGGCTTAGAAAAATTAAATGTAAGGCGTAGAGGCACGGGATCGAACATGGGGTGGGAGGTCTCTTCTCTAAACCGCTGGGCTGTTACATCAAGTTGTTAATAAATGGACTTGTAATGAATTTATTATGTATATAGGCATATAGCTGCAGAATATATAAATAAATATCCCTTAATAAAAATCGGTTCGGTTTGAACTGATTTTAAACCTTCAAACACGGACTTCGAACCAATTAATTTTCGGGTCCCGACGTTCAAATCCTGACTTTCGGGTCCTGTTCTAGTCGGTTCGGTTTCTGTTCAAATTTTTTATTGCTCGGTTCGGGTTTTTTGGGTTCGGGTTTTGTTTGTTTTTTTGTTTTTTCTGTTTATAATGTCAGCCCTAATTATAATGGCTAAAGGGTCAAATAGATCCATGTGTTCAAATTTCACTTATTTTAGCAACGCTTCAGTCATAGTCACGTGACCCCATTTCACATGTTAAGTTGCCAGCGATGCATTTTTTCGTGATAATTTAAGGGATCAAATAAGCCTTGAACCCGACTGAGTTGTTTAGTTCACCCCTCAATCGTTAAATGTCAGTAATACCAACAATACAAGGTCTAGTTGACCCTTCAACCTAGTATTATTGTTGTGACTATAATTCTTTTATATTCATTCTACTAGGCTGATTGTTGGCTTGTTGCTATTGTTAAAATAAACTAATAAGTTGTAGTGGTGTTGCATTTTTTCATTAGACCAAAAAGAAGAGAAAATGAATACTCCAAAGTCCAAAGGCGGGAAGCACAAGTTTGGATTACGCACATGAATAGGGGTGGACATGGTCATGTCCTGGTCAATGCTAGGCGAAACCGGGTTTGATCCGGTTTAATTCGGCTCTGGGTCAGTCTTGAGCTTTCAGGTTCTGGTGCTGGTCTTGGGCCGGATCCGGTCCAGTTATATTTTATTTTTCGTTTTCAAGGCAAAAATATGGCCTGAATTGGATCACGATCGGGTCCACTACTGGACTGGAACGAGGTCCGGGATTGCCTCTTCTGATCCCCAAATTCCAAAACCGGGATTAGGTCAGTCGATTACTCGGTCAGTCGGTCTAGATCCGGAATCAGGAAAACGGATCCAATCGAGTACATAATGTCGGACTTGGTTTCAGATCGCCCTGGTTCGCCGCCGGATTGGGTCTACTCTTACTGTATTACATAATAGTGTGAACAACTAGTGGAATATTACATTTTACTGTATACATTGTTTCAAAATTTCATTAAAAAATTCTGTAATATGAAGTACTTTTTTTAAAAAAAAATGGACTATTTTTTTTTAAAGAAACAAAAGTTTTTCTCAAATAATTTTGTTTAGTCGCCTAAATTAATATTAGCTTGGGATCAGTTGGGTTGTTATTCATAATTAAAGGAACCATTATAGAAAATATGACTAATGAAATCAGCAATTCTTATAAAATCAAGAATTGTTATGTAACTGAACCAAAATTAAATGGTCCTATTTTATGAAATCTTTTTCAAAATTCTTACTCATAGTTCACTTCCTACAATATAAATACATCTAATAATCAAAACACAATGAATAAAATTTGATATGAAGTTCAATTAGAACATGTCAAAACTTTTATAAAAGCTCAAATTTGACTGAGTGAACACTTAAGAACCATTAAGGACGACTAAGAACTAAACCATTCACAAAAATTAAGAACCGACTCGTTCACAACTACTACGTACGGAGTAATAATTAATTTATTGGATCCGAATTGAATCGGGTTATATAGTTTGGGTCTAATGGATTCGCGGGTTCTATTCCCATCACTAAGTACTCTGGCCCGCTGTTCACATCAATTGTATTATATGAAGACGTCAACTTTTACTAATTGAATCAATGGATTTATATGATAAGGGGGTTGTAAATTGTAATTTTTTGAGAAGGCATTATCATACAATAAATGACCATTCCCATTAAATAGTGTGAAGTAGAATTTCAAAGTTTCTGTGGTACAAGTGTTTGGGATTTGAAATTCGGTTAATTAGGTAGTCTTCCCATAATATTTTAAAACCAAAACGAATTTTAGAACTTGATAAGATCTTTACAACGAGATAGAAAATACTTTAAACGAAACTAAATACAACAAGATATGATCTAATCAATTTGTACACGTGTTCGGAGTGAAATAAGAAATGTTTGTAAATTTCAGATTAATTTGTGCATTATACTTAATGAATTGTAAATTGAGTCAAAACAATAGTTTTAGAACTCAAAATGATTTTCTAACGAGATATAATATGCTTGAAACGAAAGAACATACAACAAGAAATGAATGTCACAAATTCAAAGTCTGAACGGCAGAACTCTGTGATTTGACGTGTACAACGTAAATAGAGCATTTTTGACATACATACAATATGGGATTTGAAATTCGAATCATTAGATAGTTTTTTTGTAATATTTTGAACGGACGCCTATGAGACACCTGAAAGAGGACCAGGAAATTATCACTTAAGACCTCACAAAGTTAAACTAAATGCCTCACAGCACACCTAGTTCAATATTTTTTTGCTTTCTATATTTCATTATGAAAACAAAAAACAATTCCAGAACAAAAAAATGTTGTTTTCAGTTGTGGGGGTAGGCCCGATGGTCCAGACCCATCTCTTAGGTTCCAATTTCGGGCTTCAGCAGTTATCTCAAGTTCTCAACAAACAATTAGTACTTATTAAGTTCTCCTTTAATCCTTTTGACAAGAGTGCAAGTCTCTCGAGGTATAGAAGCATTTAATTGATGATATACATTTCTTTCATTTAATTGATCATTAATTTACGGTATTAAAGAGAATGAATAACATATAAGAAACGATTAGTTTGCTACAAAAATGATTCTTTCGATGTCATTACAAAACCAACAGCTGCATCTAAGTATCCAGCTAGCTGCAAAATGAAACAAGTGATGCAAAGTTAGAACCACCTCTTCCCATTGTATATCTTGCATTGCAAGGGAAACTAATGTATTTTGATTTAATACAATAAGATGAATTCAACCTGATCAAGAATGCTCTTTCCTGTATGCCCTTCAATAACAAGCGCTGCAGTTAGACCAATCATAGCCCACGCACCGTTTATAGCTTCTATTTGGCGCCGCTTCTATTGCATTATAAGCATGCAAGAGTAGGTCATTAATTAAAGAGAAAGAAGAAATATACCCTTTAAACTACATCGGAAAACATATTAACCTCAACTTTTTTATAACAATTAAACAGAAAAAATACATAGAACGAATACACCATTGAATTACATGTAACACATATACCCTCAACTGTATGGACAACAGGACATATGTATTCCAATTTTACATGTTTGGCGTTTAATTGTTCCAAAAGAAAATTGATGTGTGTATACTTGTTCATCATCTCTTAATTAAATATCACGAGTTACATATGAAATTGTGCAATTATGGAACTTACTTGTAATCTTTGTTTGGTTTTAATTTCCTCCATTTCTATTGCAGCTAACCGCTTGGCTTCCAATGGATCAACCATGATCACTACTTTCTTTGAACTTCTGTTGCTGCGAGTTGCCTGTGAATATTCAATCTTTTTATATACTTCAATAAAACTAAGAGTTATGGTTAAATAAAATTCAACAAGAAACTAAAAATACACACTTCTGTGTACACATATAGTGAAATATTAAAACACTAAGTGAATGCCTAAATGCTTTGTTATAAAGCCAATGCCTAAATGCTTATGCCATACTCGTCGCCGGCCTTTAATTAGATTATTAACAAAATCAAAGGGTGAGATGATAGTAAGTTGCGTACATTAGGATTGGCTCGGAGATGAGTCACCCTACTCTTGGTGATTTGCGATGTGAACCATGTTTGTCTGCGACTTCCAAACTCCTGTCTATAGGATATAAGTAACATGAACAAGACTGCAGATAATAATAATAATAATACTAATAATAATGTATTTGTATTTCTTCAGCAGGTGATCCGCTACATTAACAATAGGGATATGCTTAGATCCTGGAAAGTGCTAGAGTAAAGCAAACATATGCCAAGTCTTTTCTCATGTTTGGTTGTAACAGGGAATTAAAATACTCTTGAGTTTTTAATATTCACGCACATTTCTTGATGTTTATATTATAGTAATAAATATATCTATGAATACGGGGTTGATGTTTGGTTGTACCACAGAAATTGAAATACTATTAATGTTGTAATATTCTTAAAGATTTCTTGGTGTTTATATTGTAGAAATAAATATATCTATGAACAAGGGGTTGTTTACCACAATATAAACAACCCCCAAGCATCTGAAAATCTATTAGATAGTACCAAATATTCTTTCTTCTAAAAATTTCTCCCTATTTTCTTTCCCTAGTACTTTGCAGGATCCAAACAGACCTTAGAGCATCCAGCAAAATGAGTTATCCATCATTCTAATGTACAATTATAGAGCAGTCCCACGGTAGGGTAACTCATGGTGATCCAAACATGCTAAGTTCCGTGGGCATTTTCATGTTCTACCATATTGATTAGGGGAAAACATGACTAATATGGATTGGAAAAACAAACCCAAAGAGGGATTTAGTTTGGTCCATTTCATGTTCACCATTCCAAAAAAAAAGCGAAAAAAGACATCAGAAATAGAGGAAGAAGAAAACTTTAGGCAATCAATTCTCCATCTTTCCATCACTCATCCATTGCTCAAACAATAGGTAATCAATTCAAGATTTCACTTTTTGGCGAAGAGAGAGATCCTAAAACTATTCTCAAATTGAAGGCGGAGAAGTTCAGGGCGTTGGGAAACTTACTTGCTAACTGCATTGGAGTGAAAATCGAAGGCCGAAAAACAGTTTTCTGATAGCTTAAGGGTTCCTCCACCAAGAAGGGGCGACGAATATGAGGGAGGCGCCATTTCACAGTCTTATCCGTAACCTGTCCGTGTGTTTTGGCTCCACCCGTTTTTAAAGGGTTGTATGTTTGTTTATATCGTCCTCATGTCCTAATAAAACTAAATACAGCAGGGAGATTTAACAAAATAGGAGTAAATAAAAGGATAATTACAACAATAGGAGTTTAAAGTTTAAATTCTAAAAATAGGACTAACTCTTCCGATTCTACCCTTTTCTTTATCCTTGATAATATGATTTTTAACCAATCATTATAAAATATAAAAAAATCAAAATAAAAAATAAAAATTGTAAAAAACAATTAAAAAATATATAGACGCCAACCACCACCTCAGCCACCTTCCAGCACCGCCACCTCCGGACTCCGGAAAAGATTGCTAAATTGGAGGAAAAAATGTCATCATGATGGCAATTTTGAAGAGAAAGCTAGATATTTTCAAAGAGTAAAAATGTCATCTTTATGGCATTTTCAAAGAAATGTGACATTTTTTTACACAAGATGACATTTTTTCCGACGACCCGAGTCGGTAGTGATGGGAGGAAGAGGACGCGTTGGCAGTGAGCTACATATTTTTTAATTTTTAGGTATTTTATTTTATTTTTAGACTTTTTTAAAAAAATTTAAACAATTTATTAGTTTTAATTTTTTAATTTTTATTTTATTTTTTCACGTTTTTATTATTATTTTATAAATATTTTAGTATTTTTATATTTTTATTATAAATAAAACTATGATTTTCTTATTAATAAAATAAATCTAGTGGAAATTATAGGAAGTGGGTAAAATGGGAAGAAGAGGCATATACTAGTCCTATTTTGCGAATAAAAGGATTGTACTCCTATTGTTGAATTTTGAGCTTATTAAACTCCTACTAAGGGTTAATACCCGGAAAAGATTGCCAAGTTGGGGAAAAATGTCATCATGATGGCAATTTTGAAAAGAAAGCAAGAGAAAGCTGGATATTTTCAAAGAGTAAAAATGTTATCTTTATGAAATTTTTAGAGAAATATGATATTTTTTACACGATATGACATTTTTTCCGGTGACCGGAGCCGGTGATGCTGGAAGGTAAAGGACGCGTTGGCAGTGACCTACATATTTTTTAGATGTTTTTAGGTATTTTATTTTATTTTTTGGACCTTAAAAAAATGATTTATTTATTTATTTTTTTTTATTTTTTCACGTTTTCATTATTGTTTTATAAATATTTTATTATTTTTTATATTTTTATTATAAATAAAACTATGATTTTCTTATTAATAAAATAAATCTATTGAAAATTATAGGAAGGGGTAGAATGGGAAGAAGAAACATATATTGGTCCTATTTTGGGAATAAAGGGATCATACTCTTATTTTTGAATTTTGGACTTATTTTAGTCCTACTAAGGGCTCTTTCCCCAATAAAGTATTGAAAAACACTACGGTAATCATTATCTCTTATAAATTTGTCATCTTTCTTTTTTTAGTTGTTCCAAAAGCTTTGTCACTTTCCTTTGTAATCAATGAATTTATGATTCCTATTATTTATTTCTACTCTGCACATATCTCAACCACACAATTTTTATTGTATTATTTCTCGTGCTGATTAAACTTGGCAAATTATTGAGAGACAGAGGGAGTATATATTTTGGTGCAATATTTTTTTAATTATTTTTTTAATTGATTTTTAGATTGAATTTTGAAACGAAATTGTATGAACATAATCTATACTTAATGAACAAAAGGAACAAAAGGATTGCACTTTTCACCTTAACTGCTTAACCTGAGGAAACTTTCTGTACACTCTACATGGAATATGTACTGCCAAATACTTCACCCGATAACCATGAAAAGGCAATCAAACAGAGTCAATGCTGAACTTCTTTGAAGCTTTGTTAGTTGACATAAAAACAAACCAGCATATATTTTACATGACATAAAAAGAAAGCTGAAAAGGGAGAAGAGAACCAGAAGCTATTTCAAGGATATCTTACTAAAGCTAAAAAACACACACAAAAAGAACTATAGGCCAAAATTCTAGGTTTCCACCCTTTTCAAACACCAACTACCCACCATGTCTTCCAATCTTCATTGCTCAAATTGGATCCACTGGAATCTAACTCGACCCGGGTCCGACAAATTGGGCAATTGGGAACTTTCCCGATCCAAGAATCCACGCATTTCATATGAAACAAGTGATTGCAAGCTGGCAACTTTCTACACCGTTCATCTTCCTTGAAGCTGTCCAAACAAATCGCACAATCCTTGGCCATTAGACCAGAGGAGGAGGAGTAGCTGAGGCAGGGCAGGCGGTCCATCAGATCCGGCGCGGAATGAGGCGGAGACGCTTCAGCGGCTCTCCCGGGATGGCGCTCTCGACGGCGGCGCCGGCGCCGGAAGGCGGTCGTGGTGAGGAGAAAGTGGATGAGGATGACGGCGGCGAATCCGAGGAAGATGAGAAAGAGGGAGAGAATAAAAGCCATGACGGCGCATTTCAAGAACACGAAAAGGATCTTTCTTGGGGTGGAGATTGCGTTTGGCTTAGGCGGCCGCTCTTGTGACGGGTCATCTGGGTTGATGGGAATTCCGCGGTGGCGGCGATGCGGCGGATCTGGATCGCTGTAAGGAACGATTGACATGTGGGTGGCGGCGGCGGCGGATCAAGATTGAACGGCGATGTGGGTCAAGGGGAGGAGAGGAACGGAGCTTTTCGAAGGGATAAGAGAATATGGCGGTGTTCAAGATATTTTCCTGTGCTCGTTTTTTATATTAACGCTTAATATTAAAGAATTATAGAAATTCCGTAATGAGTAGGAGGAAATCAGGGTACTACGAAAAACCGAAGAAGATGGGCGTACACAGTGTCGGGAAGATAGGCCGTATGAGTAGGCCTGAAGGGTCTGACAAAAACGAAATCCATTCGTACCAAATCCATTAACAAAAAAAGATGACACTCCATCCGCGAGGGTCCCCTACTCTGATCAGACAATGCGTTGATAGAGAGTGAGACTCTGTCCCCGATACTTGCAGAAGTCATGTGCATTTTTGGCATAGTAACTTCTCATCGCAGTTGCCGGAATTCGAACCCGTGACCTAATTCTTGTGGCACTCCCTTGCTGCCAGTTGAGCTATGCCCATCGATCCAAATCCATTAACAACCCTCCATTTTGTATCCCAATTTGTAGCTCTACTATATTTGTGGTTCACAAGAAGTCCACTTCATTAAATGAATTGCTTCACTTTAATGAGCCATTTTTGTGAGCTACGGAAATAGGGTGGGGTACAAATTGAGATGCCTTTAGCATTTTTTATCCATTAATTAGCTTTCAAGTTAGAGCATCTTCAAAATAAATTATTTCTCGCGTTATTTAAATGATTTTATACAATTTTGGTAAGTTTTTTTCTCCAATGTCAACCATAATATCAATATCCAGACGGTTTTCTTGACATTGTGGAGAAAAACTTACAAAAATTATATAAAATGATTTAAATAATGAGAGAAATAATTTATTTGCTAATATTTATGTGACTATCTCTCGTGCCACATATGCACTGTGCACATTGTAGCATTGAATATGCTCTTCAATAGAAATAAAAACGGTTTTTAAAAAATATTACTCCTTCCGTTCCTATTATAACTTCCAACTTTCCTTTTTTCGCATGTTCCAATTAAAACTTTCACTTTCCCTTTTTGGTAAAGAATTTGTGGTTCACAACAAAATCTTACACATTTCTCTCCTCTGCACAACTCTCCACAACACAATACTCACTATCTTAAATTATGTGCCAAACTGATTTGGAGGTATAATAGGAACGGAGGTAGTACTCCTTTCGTCTCAATTTGATGGTTATGTTGCGATTTACGATGCTTGACCTAGCAAACAGATCTTTGTACGCAACCAATCTATTTGTAGAATTTTTTTTTACATATTCATAAACTACATTAAAATTGTAGGGGTGAGCATATCAGTTTTCGGTTTGATTTTATCCATTTCGGTTCGGTTCGGAATGGGTTGGGAGAATTATTACCAAACAAAAATCATACTCCCTCCGTCCCTAATAATTTTGCTATGTTTGACCGGCACGTAGATTAATAAAGTAAAAACTGTGTGGTTGAGGTTTGTGCAGACGAGGGAGAATTAACTAGAACCACAAATTCTTTACTTAAAAGGGAAAGTGGCAACGTTAGTGGGACGTCCAAAAAAGGAAAGTTGACATAGTTATAAGGGACGGAGGGAGTACTATTTTTGGTTCGGGTTGTTCGGGTTGGATTTGTTTTTTAATAATATATGAAGGTTTTATTGAATTTCTTTAGTATGGTTTGGTTTTGTTTGGTTTCTATCAATTTCGATTCGATTCAGTTTAATATGGTTTGGAAGAAATTCTACCGAACTCAAATCAAATTGCATACGGTTCGGTTTTGGTTTCGGTTCGATTTAGTTTGTTTTGGTACGATTCGGTTTGGTTAAACCAAACCAATATGTCCACCCCTAATTAAAAGTCCTACAAAGCTGCAAAAATAAGAATTAAATTTGATAAAAACTTGATATATAAAGTAATAGATTATAAAGTAATAGATTATGCGTGATTTGTGTTGATCAAGTGAATATGAACCGATACCATCAAATTGGGATGGAGGTAGTATTAAAAAACATATTCACAAAAATATGATTATTAGTTACTACAATGTAGTGTCACAGTAACTTAAGTTTAAAAAATGAATATAAATTACCCAGGGATTTGAGGCTCCAGAGTCAAGAAGTAGATTAAAGAAAGGCATTAGAGGATTTAGAGCTGTCACGTTCGCATGTAGCTGCATCGCCGGTTGCTGCCATTATAGAGGTTTGCTTAATCTTTAGTATGCTCTTACATCTCTATGCTTCAATTGTAATTGTTTATTATAGTATACTAGACAATCTTCTATGATCCTGCTCGAAATCAATTGAATCCCACGAGAGTGAAGAAGATTGTTTCGGTACAAAAATCCCGATAAAGAATTAATCACGTGTGTTTGGACTGCCCTGTTCAGTCACCATCGTCGGCCTTTGGCCACCTCCGCTGGACCAGCGGCCCCTCCTGTCACCGTCGCCCACCGCCACCACCACCACCACCATCAGATTCGACAAAAATTTACAGAATGAAATTTACAGAATGAAGTTTTATCTAGTTTTACTCCGTCAAGACTCGCCGGAGCTCCGTTGCCACCGGACTGTCTTGCTACCAACGGACTATACCGGATTACCGGTTGCCCAAATGGATTAGGGGGTAACTAATTATTTAGATTAGGGGTATTAATGGTAGAAAATTATTTTTTGGTCCTATTTATGAAAGATTTAGGTTTTAGTACTATTTATGCAATTATATTTTTATTTAATTAATTACCGTTTAAGTTACCCGTTGTAGGGATGTCAAAAAAACCGACCCGCAATGACCCACCCTGGCCCGAGACATTTGGGGCGGATCTGGCCCGCCCCGTCTTGCAAATGGGACGGGTCCACCCCGCCCTGCCTAAGTTTTTTGTCGTCTCGCTCTGCCTCCTATACTACTAGAATCTTGATTTCTACCTAGACATTGATGTCCATGTGACTGCCTCCAAACAAGTTATATGTCCTAATTGAAATTTGTACCGGGTTAAGATTTCTTTATCACGTTTAGGTTTTTTCAATGAGTTTTTTTCCGGATTAATCCTAATTAATTAAATAATTACGGAATTAATGTTGGGTTAAAATTATTTACCAATATACTGTTGGGCTTAACTCTGGTCAGGGAAAGTCGCCAAACCGTTTGACAACTTATAAGTCGCCAAACCGGATGGTGACTTATAAGTCGCTAAACCGGATGGCGACTTATTAGTCGCCAAACCGTTTGACGACTTTCCCCTTCCCAAATATCGTCGGTCTGGGCCCAACCAGGGCTGGTCAGGGGCACCCCGATGGCAAAAAATTGTGTTTTCAGCCTAAATCAATCCCGATTATCGCAATTCACCGTTTGACGACTTACAGAACACATACAAAATACAATTTGGTTAAAATGATACAAAGCGATACAGCTGCTTAGAAACACACTATAAAAACAGCGTATAAACATCCGATATGCATAACCAAACACATCAACACATCAGAAACAAGTTAAAAAGTATTAATAACACAATATCCATTTGTTTGCATGTGAAAATACATTAAAAAGTAACGATTGAAGCCAACAAAAGAGCTCTGGCAAAGAACGATTGCAGCACCCCACTTAGGGGATAAATCTATATAAATTTTATTTTATGAAATTTTTACTGAAGTGATCCAATTGGTTTATTTTGCTGAATTACGTAAAAATATTTAAAATTTATTATATTATTAGAATAAAAAAGAATTATATGAAAATAATTAAATTGATCCTCTATAGTAACTTTTGTCAATCTAATTAGAAAGTAACTTCAATCTTAATTATTTTGATTAGTATACAACTCATTGTGCACAATCAAAAATTACATGTTTGATGAAATAAATTGGTTAACAAGGTTTATAATTCGAAAAATAGATCACCAAACAATTGGGTGTTTTATTTGTCGGCCTTATCAATCGTTTCTGCAAGACTGAAAGACCGTTTGGTAACATTGTTTTCGGCTTATCAAGCTTATCAGCCAACTTTTTCATCACACACGTAACTGTTGAAACAACCAATTTTACCAAACAATTATTTATAGTCAGCTAACATAACCAGTTGGTCAAAACAGCTAACACAACCAGCTGTTAGAAAACAACTGACACAACCAGCTGACAGCAACAACTAACAACCGTTTGCCAAACAAGTCCAATATATACGGCTCGAGTGAGGTTTTTGAAATGCTAGGTTTGAACTGGGTTTGTGTATGATCAATTAAGGTTCAAATGAGTAAGCGTCATATTATATGACATATATTCTTGTACTAAATTACCTATTCTTAAATACAAATCACATATATTAATTAGCACAAATAATAAGTTGTCAAACGGTGAATTGCGATAATCGGGATCAATTTAGGCTGAAAAACACATTTTTTCGCCACCGGGCACCCCCCATTGGCCCCGGTTGGGCCCAGACCGACGATATTTGGGAAGGGAAAAGTCGTCAAACGGTTTGGTGACTTATAAGTCGCCATCCGGTTTGGCGACTTTCCCCGAACAGAGTTAAGCCCAGTAGTATATTGGTAACTAGTTTTAACCCAACATTAATTGCGTAATTATTTAATCAATTAGCATTAATCCGGAAAAAACTCTTTTTCATTAGGAAGAATTTTTAATTGAATCTGAACTTTTTCATGGAAATGCTTCGTAAGTGTGTTTTTTTAACACGATAGTACCGAAGAGAATAAAATTGATAAAAATAAGATAGAACGGAGCAATTGAATCTTCAAAGTAAAGTTTCCACATCTTTCCAAAGGAAATTATCTCAAATAAATCTAGACTCTTCCACCACACATAAAGATCTTCTTACATTTGTGAATCTTTAGGAAGAAAGGTAATCATGAGTAAATGAAAAGGGGAATGAGAGAGATTATCGAGGGCGACTCGATAAATCGAAAGAGGAAAATTGCGCACAAGGTTATTATTTGGGAAGAAGAAGGAGTTTGCCTATTTTTTATAACTGAGCTTAAACACATTAACCCTACTACGAAATTTTGAGAGCTTTTTAGCCTTGTTTATTAAGATTTTGGGATTCTTTGTAAATTCCATCTTTTTTATTAATGACAATTAATTCTTTTTTTACTAATTCTATTGTTAATTCAATTATAAATTGTGAGT